GTCATTATCATCATGATATTTTTGGTGCCCAGTGGGGAAACCTTATGATACCATTGTATGATATCATTGTGTTTCTGTTTCTTGGGGGGTTTTTTCCCCGCCGGGGACCTACTACTACTACTACTACCACTACTACTACTACCACCACCACTACTACGACTACAACTACTACTACTACTACTACCACTACTGCTACTACTACTACTACCACTACTACTACTACTACTACCACCACTATTACCACCAGTGTCACGATTCCGACCACTCTTCTAATTACTCTTTCCTATGCACCTCAAGTCCACAACAATCACCAAAGAAGTCCGAGGCCCACGAGGCCCCAAAGACTGCAGCGGCCCTGCACAGCCGTGCGGGCGGGCCCTCCGTGGTGGCGGCGGCGCAAGCTGAAGCTTAAACGAGCGTTCAGCTCAGATTGATGCGATGGCTAGGGGAAAGCCAAGTGTACTATAGTCTAAACTACTTAAAGGTGGCTGTATAAGGGATTGTATAGGGACTACTATAATGGTAATTAAGGGGGATACTAAGAGTTTAGAGTATAGGTATCATGCTATAGTCCTTTACATTTACCATTATAGACAACAGTGGTGTTTCGTACTATGCGTAATGTAGACCCCAGATTAATGAACCCCCTCCCTTAATATTGATTATAATAGGGATCCGAATATTAAGGCCCTTAAAAGGAGGGGGTCTATTAATCAGTGGTCTGCATTACCCAGATAATTTGTCACAGTATTAGATTACCAGATACCGATTCAGTGCTGGTACTGTACTTCTGCCTACCTAAGGTGTTATGATGGTGGCTATTTGATTAGGAGGACCCCCAACCCTGTAATAGTGGCTATAGTATCTACATATTGGGGTCCTCTGATGTTCCTGTTATACCCGCTACAGGGTGGGGGGGTCCTCCTAAGGATATTGATTTGATGCTACTTGCATCTGTAGGGGCCTCCAAAATAAGTTGTACTTGTTGGGCATTGTGATCCTACCGACGACCCAAAACACAATTTTTTCGTGAGTGTCTGAGGCCAGCGTCGGTAACAGGCAAGGTCTCCTCCAAGGAAGGGCAGCACAGGCTTCATTCTTGCAACTCTGCTGCATGAGCTATTGGCCGTGCTTTGGTTGGCTACTTATGTCGCCACCGCTTTGCCGGATGGGCTCTTGCGGTGATCTTGCAATAGAAGCCGTAAGGGGAGCTGGTCGCCAAAAAATGATCAGACAATCAAGCATTACAAGAGAGGTTCAAGTGTGACTTCCGAGGCAGAACACCAAGATGCATGACATTAGCGTTATATTGGGGATATGCTGGGATAATGGAAAAGAAAATGGAAACTACTGTTTAGGGTTTGGGGTTGATAGATGTATTAGAATATACTATAATATACCGTAATATTCTTTTATATGATAGACTCGCGCTTGGCCTTGCTTAAAAAGGGCCTGCAGCTTAAGTCCGCCAAGAAATACCCAATGCCGACCCCAGCCCCCTGCGCCGAGCAGACTCTCACCACCAACGAGTGGCTGGGTTGCTGTTAAGGAACTATAATGAAACTACTTTATTGGGGTATAATATCGGGTTAAGGTTTTTGGGTTTAGGGAATTTGCAGGGCTTGCATAGTGGATTCCTGTTGTGCCAGCTAACATCACGAGTCTGGTTTCAAAAAAGGGTTGGTTTAGGGATATTATCCCCCTATAATGGAGAATCAAATGCCATGCAACATGAAATGGGAACTGGTGGAAAATAGAAGTTCAGGAACTTGATTTGAATTACTATATTGGAGAAACCTCTTTTTTTCCAAAAAAAAATTCTATACTGTATATACTCATTATGGTAGCTTAGTTTAAGTTCCCTAACAGCAACCCAGGCCGATGGAGTTTCAGACCTGGTTCCTTGCCATTCTGGACTTAAAGTTTAGTCAGCAAGAGGCCACAATTCGAGGTCTGCTTGAGCCGAAGGGGCGGCCAGCCCCTCTACTTCCACCTCCGCGCGGAGTATCTTTTCGGCAGGGCTCTTTTACAAAGTCTCCCGGTTCTCCTATTTCCCCACGGTCCCCAACGTCCATCCGGCCAGCAATGTCTCCGCAAGCAAATCTGCAGCAAGTTTTCGAAGTGAAGCTGGACCAGGAGCTGGAACTGCCGGAAAATGAGGAGGCAAGTTGTGAGGACGCAGAGAAAAACAGTGAGCACGCAGCGGAGTCCACGTCAGGCTCCCCGAGAGCGTCTTGTCTGCAATGGCTTGCTTTGGCTATGCCATGGGAAAGAATACTTCCTGTCCCTCGTATGAGACTTTCACGCAATAAGGGGACCCCAATATAGACAGCTAAATGCAAAACTCCTTATTATGGGAACCCCTAATGAGATACCCCTACTTTGGGGCAACCGTCTATTGCAGGCAAAGCATAAAAGAATGACGACGCTGGGGGTGACCATCATGTCGGAGAAGATGCAGCCCGAGCCGCCATTGAAGCAGTTCGTAAAGAGTCGTCTAGACCTTTACATGGGAGTCTAGGTACCTCAGAAGTACCCTTTTCCCTCTTTCTTAGGAAAAAGAGTTGAGGATTTAAGTACTCCAGTAATTAGTACCTTTTTCCCCTGTTGATTGTGGGGTCTCCTTGTTAAAGCTCCTTATAAAAGCTGAAGATCAGGAAGGGTACCCTTATCATTACGGGTTACCGCTGAACCTAGGAGTTGTTGTCTTCATCAACATGATCTTCATGGTGGCTTGCTGGTCCAGTGGACATCTGTCAACCTTTCTGCGGGTACTAACTCTAACCCTAAACCCTAAAGTTTAGGGTTTAGGGTTGATGTAGGGGCGATTGACCTAAACCCTAAATAGTAGATTCCATTTTCTTTTCCAGTATCCCTTATAACCCTATATAACCAATTATGATAATAATTTTTCCATTTGCCATTATCCCTTATAACCCTATATAACCAATTATGATAATAACTTTTCCATTTTTCCATTATCCCTTATAACCCTATATGAGCAAGTATAATGGTTTTTCCATTTTCCATTATCCCTTATAACCCTATATAACCCATCATAATGGTTTTTCCATTTCTCCATTATCCCTCAGAACCCTATAGAACCCATTATAATGTTTTTTTTTTTCCATTTTCTTTTCCATTTTATCCCAACTACACCTAAGGTGGTCATGACGCAGTGGACAGGCTCAAGAGTTGAACAAAGTCTCGGGCTGGTTCCTGCTCCATGGCCCTTTTTCTCCGACACTTTCTTTGATGCTAGGTTCCCCAGTAGTACACTGTTTCCTTTTTTTGGGGGGGGAGGGGGTGTCTCCATATTAGAGCTGAACAGTAGGAAAAAGGGTACCTTATTATTAAAGGGTTACTGGGGAACCTAGGATGTGTCGGAGTACATTTTCTTCTCCCTATATGTTGCAGATGTTGCATTCCGCATTGCGGTGCTCCGCCACGAATGGTATTTCGACCTTCAGGAGGGCTACATGTACCTGAATATGTTTGATGCTTGCCTTGTTTGCGTCAGTACCTTCGAGCTTATTCTCCTTCCAGCGATTTTCTCCGCTGGCGGAAATCCAGAGTTTGAAACCAACACCATCCGGGTCCTGAAGCTGATACGAATTGTTCGGACCTTGCGCATCTTCAAGACAGTGTCCGTCTTCCGACAGTTGCGTCTCTTAGTCTCGACCTGTATAGCAAGCATTGGGGCACTCTTCTGGTCGATGGTTTTACTGCTTCTTTTAAACATCGCCTTCGCCCTGATGATGGCGCAAGCGTTGCAGACTTTCATCTTGGACGAGCGAGCCGACCTGGACACGCGCATGCTCATGAACCAGTACCTTAATGGGAAGTACTAGGAAATACGGCAATATGTTATCTAGGGGTTATTTAGGGATTATATGGGGATTATATTATATTTCCTCCTTTCCTACTAATCACGAGTAAGGTACTACGGGAGTTTCACTCAGGCCTTCTACACCGTTTTTGAAATTACCCACAGTGGCTCTTGGCCATCACGTGTGCGGCCCGTCCTCGACTTGGTGGACCCTTGGTACGCGGCTCTATTCCTACCATATATAGCAATGGTGGTTTTCGCAGTGATTCGGGTAGTCACGGCGCTGTTCATCAAAGAAACATTAGCTAGTGCGGCGAACGACGCAGAGCTAGTTATCGAAGAAACACGCAGGAATGCCTTGGAGTATCAGGAGAAGCTAGAGGAACTTTTTCAGATAGTTGATGATGATGGTGACGGGCACCTGACGCCCAACGAGTTCGTGGAAGCCATGAGCTTACCGAGTGTGCAGCAGTACCTGGGTTGCTGTTAAGGAATTTAATGTAAGTTACTATGTTGGGGAAAGCCTATCAATTTCCATTTACTGTTTGCTCCGCATTAATAAATGATCTCCCCCCCCCCTCCCATTTGATCTATCTCCGTCCCGGGGGACCCCCGGAATAATGATGCCAGAAATGTACGTTGGAAAGCCTATTTAGAATTAATCTAATTAACATCGTTGCCCCGGAAAGAAAATACGGTTTTGGTGGATTCTATACTTGTGAAGGGAATTATAATTGTGTTCCGGCGCTGGATTTAATAAATGTGGAGGGAATTCTAAATGTGAGGTCCACATTACAAATAAATAGATATACATATATGTATATACATGGTCACTGAATTCAAGTTCCTTGACAGCAGTCCAGGTACATGAGGTTCTTGGACGTCAGTGTGAGGGATGTGCGCCCGCTCTTTGACATTCTCTCGGAAGGTGATGGGCTGATTACCATCGCCGAGTTTTGCAAGGGTCTCATGCAGCTCAAAGGGCAAGCACGGGCCCTGGATATTGTCATTCTACAACATGAGAATTCCAAGTTAATGAGGCAATGCCATGAGATTCATCGCGCGATTTGCGATGCTAAGCAGATGTGCTCCCCCAGGGGAAGCTCCTAGAGAGAAGTACGGAGGATGGCGTCATGCATCTCTAAGAGAGCAGGATGCTTGTGCCAACGCAGATCAAAAGCGCATCTCAATCAATTTGGGATTGGAGGAAGGGATCAGACTGCCACCCTAGGAATGCACTTCGTGCTAATTATTTTGGGGGGTTTCCCAAAATTAGGGGTACCATTTTGGGGGTCCCCAGAATAAGGACTATAGTAGTTTGGAGTCTATATTGGGTCTCCTTATTTTGGGAAACTACCTTATCGTGCGGCATAGTCATCAGAGTACTGGAAGTAGCGCAGGAAGAGATCGCAATAAGCATTTGGAGAAGCTGCAGAACTTCAGCACCACTGGGTAGTTGCGGGTAACAAGCTGCAATGACTCGCATGACGACCCCCTGGCCCCCGTGCAAAATTATTGAGACAATGGGACTACAGTAGCCCCTTCCCCCAAATCCAGACACACCTTGCCTCTAGTGATAATTCAATCCTGCTGTTCCTTTGCGGTAGGTTTTTTGGTCAAAGATCTACCCACTCCCTCCCATGTACTGCCTTTTTGGGCAGTATCTTAATCCCTTACGACAAAACCACAACAAACCCCAAAAGGAGCTACATGGGAGCCCTTGGGTAGGTTTAGGGCAAAGTAACTGACTGTTGTGGAGGCCCTACCTTGGCTACTTTGAGTGCATCTTTTCATTCTAAACCCTCATAGGGTTGAGGGTTTAGGGGCTATATAGGGGTTATAGGGGTTATATAGGGATAATGGAAAAGAAAATGGAAGCTACTATTTAGGATTTAGGGTTTAGGCTTTAGGTTATCCCTAAACCTGAAACCTTCAGCTTAAACCCTTTTTTGGGGCTCACAGACGGTTGTTTTAGCGTGAGCCATGCTCCAGTGATAAGCGCCGGTGCATCCCGCGAAGCTTCTTCTGACTGGCTTGTGACCTTGCCAAGTTCGGCTTCAGATGATTTGGAGTACAATGGGGCTAGATTGGGAATATCTAGCGGAGATGTAGGGGAATTTAAGCAAACTGGTAGCAAATGTCTAAGTTCGTTCGTTTGTTGGTCAGGGTTTCGGGTAGCGAGTTGAGGTTCAGGGTTTAAGGCTATGAACCTAACATTGATCAATAAGGGATGTAAGCTTGTTTTTGAGCCTATAAGCCCTAATCCCTAAAACCTAAGCCCTAAATCCCTAAACCCTAAGCCCCAGGCTCTGCGCCATGCCAAGTCCAGAATGCGATGAATCCAGCTCCGGCAATGCTCCCGGTCTGGAGGAGTCACCCTTCAGTTTAGCCCAGGTTTGGTCTTATGGTTTCCCCCAACATCAAAGGTTGAAACCATGGGCCCCTAGCATGGGCCCTTAACCCTGAAATCCTATATTCCTACTATATACCCTATATGTACCCATAAGGGTCCCCAGAATTCCCCTAAAAGGTTTAAGGGCCCGTTAGGGGGCAGGCTCTTTCCCTCATATGGGTAGGGTAGGCTGGCTCAATCCATTGTCAGGGTGTGTGGCGGGGTTTTTGAAAGGATTGAAACCCAAGGACCACTATTTAGGGCTACAAAGGCTTGGGGGTCAGGGCCCAGAAAGTGAAACTCTAATTCTCAAGAGGCGCCGTGCATCTCCAGGGTCCCTTATGGAATCCTAAGCCACCCCCAAACCTTAATCCAAACGTGCCTGGAGGATTGGCTTGTCTCCCTGCTGGACTACAAGTTCGCACAGCAAGAGACTGTGATCCGCAGCCTGCTCGAGCGAAAGTTTCAGGACAGCGGCCCAGACCGGTCAAGATCCAACCTCTCCCCCGGGACATGGGCTGTTGGTTCCTTGGCTGATTCTTGGAGGAAGTTTTCCAAATCATCAGGGATATAAAGGTCCCAGCCCCTGGGTTGGCCCTGAAGAAAGCTTTGAATTTATCATCTTCCTGACAGTCATAAGTCTTCAGCACGATATGACTGCAGAAATTTTATGTTGCAGCAAGTTCTTACCGCTCGACACCGGCACCTCAATTTTTGACAGCCCCATAGCACAACTGGAATGGGGTACTCTGTGAAGCCTGTCTTATTGCTGGACTAATTTGGGTTCTTGACTAGTGTGGTGGTCCAATATAAAAGGAAGAGTAGTTATACAATGCGAACGATGTGTGTCAAGCTTGTAGTACTAGTGTCAAGCTTGTAGTACTAGTAGCATTATCAACTGCAACAATCATGTCGTGCCAGCATGTCAAAGCGTTTTTGTTTTCTTGGAGTTCATGCTTTCGGGGGGCATGGGTTTCTTTACACGACGTCTTAGATACAGAGTAGTTAAGTATCTAAAGCAGCTTCTTCTGATCAGAGCCGCAAAGAAAAAGTGCCTGAACGCTAGACCCTACACCCTAAACCTGCCTCAGCCATGCAAGTGTCAAACCCAATCGATTAGTGAAATTCTGAGGCCCGAGCTCTCCCAGCATGGAAGGGTCCTACAAGGAAATCGTTGCAGCGGAGCCAATGATGCGCCTGAGGCATTGTAGCAGTATAATGTTTCTGGCTCCCGCCATTTCTAGTGTGTATTGAAATGCCACTTAGGCCCTCCGAATCTCCTTCTAATCCCTAATAGGAACCTTTAGTCCCTGTATCTCTCTCTCTCTCTCTCTCTGTCTCTCTGTCTCTCTCTCTCTCTCTCTGGAATACCCCACGTTAAGAAACTCCCATACCCCAAGCTACAATCCCTAAACCAGACGTTGTATGATATCTCCCTTATAGCCTCTACAGAACCCAATATGGCACTTTGCCAAATTGGGGGACCCCAATATAGACCCCAAGATATAATAACTCTTATTACGGGGATCCCCAAAAGGGTACCCCTAATTTTGGGAAACCCCCAATATTTCCCTAAGCGCTGACCCCAGGCAAGCCCTAAGGAGCGATGCTACGAGTGGCGACGAGCAACGGTCCTCCAGAAAGCTGTCCAGGACCTGAGGTTTAAGGTTTAGGATTTAAGGTTCAAGGGTGTATGGGTTGAGGGTTTAGGGGCTAGGGCCAGGGGTTTAGGGTTAAGGGGATTACTGTTCAGAGTTCAGGGTTTAGCAGTTTTTGTTTGGGCTTTGTATCCTGAGCTTAGTTTTGTCCATCCGCGTGCGTATCAACGATTTCAGTAGTCGCTTCCTTCAATCGAGTTAGTTCCGAACATTCCCGTTGGCTAGGGGCATGGGGAATACTCCAGACGGAGATGTTTGCAAGTCTGTGGCAAAAATGGTTTTTAAGTTTAGCAGCCTGCTTGCGTGTAGGGCTTAGGGACTTTGGATTAAAACAAGGGCGGGTATATTGGGGAACTGACGCGAACATGGAAACTACCATGTTTCGTCAGGTTGGGAACCTCGAGTTCGAACCTAATTAGGGGAAATAGCTTTAGGCGGGTTCTTGAGGTGTTATATACTGATTGAATGTGAGCTATATTCTAAACTCCTAGTATCCCCCTACTCCCCTATAGAATCCTTTATTTAAACCCCCTTTAAGGAGTTTAGACGAGAGCTCATTTAGTTCCAATGTTTGGTTCCCATGTTTGATCCCTTGCCGGTGGCCAGGTTCAGGGATCTTTGTAGGGATGAGCATATGTCTATGTATGCAGCCCTTTTAGTTGTTTGTGCTACATGTTCCCAGTAAAGACCACTAGAGCTCAGATCGCTCCCCAGGAAAAACACCACAACCCTGGGAGCCGCGATCATGATAGAGAAGTGGGATCCCGACCCACCATGGAAACTGAGACAGTTTGGCACAGATTTTGCGTGTAACATTGATGTTTAGGATTTAAGAGTTTAGGGTTTAAGGGTTCCTGGGCTTTAGGGCAACGGTTGTCCTCGAATGTCCTCACGAAAATATTTAATGATTTCAAGAGCCGTTGATGGCCAGATGTTTGCCCCCAAACGTGCAGGTATAGCCTGATTACGCGCCCTAATATGGTTTTGACTGGATACTTTGATCCTGAGCTTCCACGAAAGTTCAGCCTAATTACTGGTTACTGATATGGTAGTTTCCCAAAATTAGGGGACCCCACTATAGACCCCAATATAATATGGTCCTTGTTATGGGGACCTCCAAAATGGTACCCCTAATTTTAGGAAACCCCCATATGTGTGATTGGAAGCTACAGTATTCCAAGATCTTCTTTTAGGCCTTGCATGGCGCCAGAAACGGAAGCTGGCTGGGATCACGCGAGTCCACCCTCCCTTAAGGGTGGTTAGTGGAATTTTGTGGAATGATGGAGTATGTATGTATGTATGTATGTATATATGTATATATATATACATGCTATATAGGAACTATATAGGGCTACTATTCACCTACTCCATACTAACCAGTGAGTAACAAGCGAGTCAGATCACATTGCCTTAAGTCACCTATCATGCTTCGATGATGAATTGTATTCATCTCCCCTCAAAGGTGCGCGTAGTATGTTGGGCCATTAGGCACCGAGAGGGATTATTTTAACAGGCGTTCTCCCTCTTAAGGATTTAGGGTTTAGGGTTTCTTTTCTGGCGTTCTCCCTCTTCAGCCTAGGAAGTCGTTCATCAAGAAGCAGCTTGATGGCCCCTTGGTAGTACTTGCAAATCAGTCTTTGTGTTTTTCAGATTCGGACCTATGAGGGCATTTAACGAATCTCGTGGGATGCTTAGACGGGCTCATACTATAGTCTCCCGACAATCCTCATATGATACTCGTATGTCAGTGAGCTTCCAAGCTTTCAGAATTCGTAATATTGCCAACCAAAGACAACAATACCCAAGCCCAAAACCGAGTGGCTCTACACCTTCAATGGTAAATGTCACCTCATGTCAACTCATCCAAGGCTATATGGGCGTGGTGGTCATGGTCAACATGATCTTCATGGTGGGTGTTTGGCTAAATTTTATGTGCCTCCTAAACTTGCCAGTGTCTAGGGTTCAAGGTATTAGGGATCCTATTCTGTGGCCTTTCGTAGGCATGTCCGAGTTCCCACATATCCTCTGCAAAACCCCACTACTCACAAAAAAGATCTGCATGGATCTTGCTTAAGGGTCCTTGGGAGTTCCTAGTAGACCTTCAGTCCTTAAAAGCCCTAAGCCCTCCAATCCTAAACCCAGAACCCTGAAACCCTAAAACCCTGACCCTAAAGCCCTAATGCCGCCTAAGCCCTAATACCCTAAACGTCCCTAAACCCTGCACCCGGAGGTTGTCATGACGCAATGGACCGGCACAAGGGCGGAAGTTACCTTTCTGAAGTTATGGTTTATAGGGTTATATTGGGGGTTTTTTATAGGGATAATGGAAAAGAAAATGGAAACTACTATAGTATATTGTGGTTATATTGGGTAATCTAGGGGCTTAAATAATTATTACCCCCAACCACCAGCCTCTATACTGCCCCTCGAGGTTCTTCCTAGCCTCAAAAAAAATGTATTATTTTGGGGGGCCCTTGGGGGGCATTATAGGGAGGTGGTTAAGGGAATCCATACGAAGCCTTGCGAACAGGAAGGTTTTTGACATTCAGGGATCAGGGACTAAGATGAAAGGCTTGGGGAGTAAGGGTCATGAGCATTCAGATGTAAGGTTTGGAGGTTAGGATAAGTTCGGGTGGGGTATGGGTCTGAGCCCCAAGCCCGGAAAAAGGGCGTCTGGGCTTTCGAGGGGACTATGATCTGAAATTCTGGGTCCTTCTGTGGATACTTGGGCATTTCCATGAATTAGGAGTTCTGTTTGCTGTGGGGGAATAAGATTACATCAATTTAGGGTCTATATACTGCAGTCTCCGTACTTGTGGAAAGTACCACTGGCTTCTTTTAACGCCTGCTGTTTTTTTTGGGGGACGCCGGGCTTGTTATCTTTCAGTTGCTAGCGCGCCAGCCAGTGAGGTCGAATTGCAATTGCGGACAGAACCGTGGCCTTTCTTCTCGCAGGCATTCTTCGATACCTCTGAGTACTTCTTCTACGTTATCTATGTCGCTGATGTTTTGATTCGAGTGATTGTGCTCCGGCGGGAGTGGTATTACGATCCACAAGAGGGGTTCATGTATTTAAACATCTTTGATGCGCTCCTCGTGGGTCTCAGCACTATCGAGCTCATCCTCCTTCCTGCAGTGCTAACTGCGGGTGGAAGCAATGAGTTTCAGGCTAGTGCTATCCGCATATTGAAATTGATGCGGATATATCGTACCCTCCGAGTTGTGAAGACTATGCATGTGTTTCGGCAATTGAAGCTGTTGGTTAGAACCTGCATCGCTAGCATCGGAGCCTTGTTCTGGTCCTTGGTGCTTCTGCTCTTGCTGAACATTGCATTTGCTCTAATGATTTCGCAAGCTCTGCAGACTTTCATCCTTGATGATTCGGCAGATCTGGAAGCACGCCTTGTCATGAATGAGTGGTATGGCAGTTTTACCAAGTCCTTCTATACCATCTTTGAAGTGACACACAGCGGCTCTTGGCCATCACGTGTGCGGCCCGTCCTTGACTTGGTGGACCCGTGGTACGCGGCCCTATTCTTACCATATATAGCACTGGTGGTTTTCGCAGTGATTCGGGTAGTCACGGCGCTGTTCATCAAAGAAACCTTAGCTAGTGCGGCGAATGATGCGGAGTTGGTCATCGAAGAAACAAGACGTTTCGCACTCGAATACCAAAAGAAGCTGGAAGAGCTTTTTCGGTTCGTGGACGAAGACGGCAATGGTCATCTGTCCCCAGATGAGTTTGTCGAAGCAATGAGCTTACCGAGCGTGCAGCAGTACATGAAGTTCCTGGACGTCAGCGTGAGGGATGTGCGCCCGCTCTTTGACATTCTCTCGGAAGGTGATGGGCTGATTACCATCGCCGAGTTTTGTAAGGGTCTCATGCAGCTTAAAGGGCAAGCACGAGCCCTGGACATCATCATGCTACAACACGAGAACTCCAAGTTAATGAGGAGGTGTGAAGACATTCACCGAAGTGTTCACAAGGTATGCAAGGCCATATCCTCCACCTCTTGGGCTGGCCGTCTCCAAGAGACCTAGAGCCTCAATCCCTACGCGGAGGGTAAGTATAGCCTAGTGACATTTTTCTGTTAACTACAGCCCCATCAAGTATAGTCTAGTGGCACTTTTCTGTTAACTATAGCCCCATCATAGCTAGAGCAAGCATGCAGAGTAAGAGTCAGATATTCTGCTTACGAAGCGACGTGGCTTCGGGCTGATCCATCCTTCAGCCGGCCATTTCCCCGTTTTTCAACATAAACCCGACTCTGGGTTTGTCAGTGGTTCCAAACATACATGAGCTGTTGTATCCTGGCTACGTCTGATGTGGGGCCTCTTAGGGCATCTAACACCTGCTTCAGAGTTTGGGAACCCTAGCTTCCTGTACTGTTGTCCTGACATTGCGCCTGGAGTAAAAGTTCTGCCGAAGCCTCATGTGGCGGTCTCCAAAAAAATGAGGGGCGCCCTTTTAGGAGTGGTCATAGCAAGGATAATAGTCTGCTGGGGTCTTTATTAGGCGGACCCTACTTATGGAAAGTTCATGTTGCTAGGTCTTAGGAAAGGGGCCTCACATGGAAGCCTATTTGGAGAGTCCAGTGGACTGAGTAGATATGCTGAAAACCCCTATGGCCTAGAAGCCAGAACATAATTTCTAACCTACGTATTAAGTGCTCTTGACCATTCAAGAACCTTGTTCCATGTGCCTTCTGAGATTGACAGCAAGGTCGCATCATCATGGCAGCCGACACGTGCTTTCAGTTGCAGGGCAAAAAAAGAAGGGCACTGCACGCCCCATGCAATTATTCAGCAGGAGGCGAATCGATACTCTATCAGAATGCGCTTCGCTGGCAATTGTGGTATCCTAGTCTGTGGGATAGGATGTATCACGAAACCGTAGTGTGAGAAGGTGTTGACAGCTTGCTGCAGCCACATCTGCACTGATGCTGAGAAACCCGCGCAGCCATTTTCAATCAACCCTGGCAAAGGTCAGGAGCAGGGTCTTACCCAATGCCCGAACCTAAAGGTGACTAGCTGGCACTATGGCGCTTTGAGATGATGAATCATTTCCCCTGCCCTATTGCGGTACAAGGGAACCTAATCAGAAGTAATTTTGGGGGTCTTTAATAAGTCCCGCAACCCTAAACCCTAAAGTCCCACAACCCGTGACCCTACACCCTTCAAGGTGATGGCGGGCAAATCCTGCATGTCCACAGCCTCGACATGGAGTTGGTTAAGCTGCTGGATGATCGGGTTCAGACTACCTTGGCTGCCAAATTTGCGGAGCAGGAAGAAGTAATTCGGTGCCTTGTCGCTGTTTGGTAGCTTCCCCAAATAGGGGGACCCCAATGTAGATCCCAAGACACTAACATGCTTACGATAGGAAGTGTCCATTTAAAGCATTCCGTGCCCTGCCCCTATTTTAAACCTACCCCATATATAAAGCTTTAGAGACAGGCCTGAACCCTGGTCATTTGCAGATCCCAGTAGCTCCCGCATAGAGCACAAAAGCCATACAAAAAACACAGGAGGGTCTGTAACTTCTTTCCGGCTTGGGATCCATGCTTGTGATGACAGCCTGACATAGTACATGTCCCAAAGTTAGGGGTACCATTTTGCGGGGGGCTCTATAATAAGGATTACCGCGTTTGGGGGTCTATATTGCGGTCACCCTATTTTGGAAAACTACCATCTGAGGGCTTGAGGGATTTAGGGGAAGGGATTGTTCGGGGCTTTCAGAGGGTCCTCTGTACAATATGGCCCATGACGCATCTTGGCTACTCTTGACCCCCGAATTACCTTTTGTAGCCTCCCACTGTTCTTGTTCAGGCATAGACTTGGCATGTAGAGCTACTGGTACGAGCCCGCTATCACGTGTCGCAGCATCATTGAAGATGACCCCTGGAAAGTGATCCATCATTCTCAGAAGCACCTCATCTTAGAGCCATTTAGATGCTACTAAGGGGGTATATATATATAGAATACAGCCGTCTGGGGGCATGTAGTTGGTTTAGCCGCATGTTAGGAAAGTTCCACATCATCGGCCTTGTTGATTTGTCCCCTGTGGTACTGCTCATCACAGAATCCCTACGGAGCTGTCTACAGCCTATGCAACCCTGCCCCTATGTGAGCCATAGTCTAAACTCCTTAAAGATGGGTAATATAGGGATTTGTATAGGGAAGTGCTATAGGGCTTGTTAAGGGGTATACTAGGAGTTTAGACTATAGCTCATGCAACCCTAATGAACCTCCAAGTACGACCGACGGTCAGGCAGCTACTCCAAAACCGCCGCGAACGCGATTGGGAGGACTGTCAACCAACCTATCATGGGAAGTAAGGGTTTGCAGTGTAGGCTGAGGTTTCAGTAGTGGTCCTACGAGATAACTCTACATATAGATATATACATATATATCTATACGTATGCTCAGCCCCCTTCCCAAGAACTACCTTTTGGGCCAAAAACTGCTTGAGTAATGGGGCGATTGGGAAGGGACAGATCCCCAGTATTAGTATGAACATTGGTAACGGCACTATTGTTGATACTAATCTTCGTATGACCCTCATTCTGACTGACGGTATTAGTAGCGGTACCAATATTAATATATACGAATTAGTATTGGAATCTAATACTAGTTCCAATATGCATATTGATATTCATACCAATATTAATATTGGTATCATTATCAAGTATCAACACAAGTATGATTAATGTGAGCGCTCGTACTGTTAGTGCTAATGTTCATACCAAGTATTACTGTTTCTAGTAAATTTGCGGTGTTGTTGGTATCAGCATTAGTTCAATATTGGTATTAGTATGAAGACCAAGTTCTAACAGCATTGTTAACACAGTATAAGATCCCTAGTATTAGTATAAGTATTTGTATCAGTATGAATAGTGTGATTTGTAGCATTCCTATGACCAACAGTCTTGGTAGCATTAATCTGTTAACTCTTGAGAACATGGATAATGTTCTTTATTGAATGAGTATCTAGATTAGTATTTCGGTTCGTAGTATGGGAAACTGCTAGTACATAATGATGCCAACGATATCAAATATCAATAAGTTCAGCAATATATGCAATCTTATCAGTAGTGATTCGAGTATTACAGTCAATATTAACGATAATATTAGAGTGAGTGGTAATATTAATATCAACATGAGTATAGTCATGGTATTGGCACTCGCTTTAGTTTTAAGATTCATTCTGTTATGCATGCAAGAACCAATATCAGTATGAATAGTAGAATTCCTATGAAGTTTTTCATGAATATTCACAGTATTACCCGTGGTCGTCTCAGATGTTCATAATGATATTAAAGTCTAGGTCGCAAATATATGTATTGTATCTAGTAGAAGTATTAAGATGAATATTAATCTCATTGTTAGTATGTTGCAGAATCAATTCATAGATGCAGTACTTTCATTAGTGCCAGTATGAACTTGCAAATAAGTATGATGAGTAATACTCGTATCAGTAGTAGTACGAATAGAGATATTAGCATTAAGATAATGTTTCGCATTCGTATTCGCAGTTGTATTCGTATTTATCTGAGTATTAGTATTCATACTAGTATCAGATATTGATAGAAAGAGAAGTACATGTGAGAGCCATTAATTTCAGCAGTAGTATTAGTATTAATTTCAATATTAATGGTCTCATGAAGAATGCTGTTGTTTATTCTTATCATATGAATACCAACATCAATATTTAAATGTTTGAACGGAATGAGTAACAGTGAATTTCGTATTAGCATTAATATCCGTATCAAATATTCATAGTACTAATGGTGTGTGATGTCAATATTATTGGTATTCGTAATAGTACCGATACCTTTTGTTAAGCCGAATATCACCATCAAGTAATATTGCAACGAGTTTTGGTAGCGTCCTATGCAACCTCCTCCTCCTCGCGGTGGACGTGGGGGCCGTCATCCGTGGAAATACGATGGCGAAGCTGCAATAAACAGGTTGTGAGGCACATAGTTTCAGGGATCCTTCTTTCAACTTTCAAGTTGCCAATGAAGTATAAGATCCTGAGCAAGGCGCTTGTTGTAGGCAGGCGTCGCTATGCATCTAAAGCAGGTCGTGTGTGCGGTGAGTGCATTCTTGTTACAAAGGGTGTTTCGTGTGCACGCTCGTGGCGCCGACGGCGCCAGAGAACCCGCAAACAAGCAATGAAGCAATGGGAGCGTTCAGGTCCAAGTGCCGCTGTGGCATTTGATCTGAACAGACAGTTTTGCAACCCAGCTGCCCTCGAACAAAGATGCAGCAGGAAGAGTGGCATGAGTGTATTGAGAGTGTCGTGCAGTCGTTAGGTGAATGTTCCTGCAACACCGTGATACACGAAGACACGTGGTATGATTATGTGCAGTCTCATGAGGATGCCATCTGGGACCGTCCTTTGCAATTCGCACACGTCACATGCAATGCAACAGCACAACAACCTGATAATGCTGTCAGGGACCGGAGCAGTGACAGATTCACGGGGGCAGTACATAAGATGCTGTCTACCAGGCTTGACACCCGACATGCTCAGACCGGGGGTGAGCCAAACAAAGTATGACAAACTCATCCAAGGCCTTGACAGGCTGGCTTTGGCCTTCCAAGAGGATGAAAAGGATGACGGCGAGGACTGTGATGACGAAAGGGGTCCCTCGCGCAGAAGAAAAGCAAGACAGAAGAATGAGCTCAAGGCCAACGAGCTCATATCGGCTCTCCAGAAGTTGATAGAAGATGGCAGGAGGATCCTGAATCCATGATCCCTGGCTTGCTCAAACTTGCATCCAAGCACAAGCCATCGAATGAGCAAGGAGCCAATGACAAGTCTGCCAACTACGATCCCAAATCATCCCCATTGGAGTGCAAGTGACAGTTGGTGGGACGGATATAGCAACACTAGCTTAGGTCCCAATTTGGCTCTAACCTTTAGGAACGGAAATAAGGCCTCTTTAGGGGTTAGGCTGCCACAGGGTACTCAGGCCTCAGCCCCCCCTAAACCTCAGGTCTAGAAGGTGCAAGGCATCCCCAAGGCCGGGACAAGA